CAACTCCCCCTCCCATTCCTCAGACGACATGTCCATCCTGCGCCTCCTGCAGTGCCACAACGATGCCACCCGAAGGTTGCACGAACAGCAACTCATATTCCGCTTGGGAACCCTGCAGCCCAATGGTATCAATGTGGATTTCACAAGCTTCAAAATCTCCCCTCCCCCTACCGCATCCCAAAACCAGCCCAGCTCGTCCCCGCCTCCCTGACCTGTTCTTCCTCCCACCTAAAGCCGCACCCCTATCTCCTCCCTACTAACCTCATCCCGCCCCCTTGACCTGTCCGTCCTCCCTGGACTGACCCATCTCCTCCCTACTTCCCCACCTACACTCACCTTTACTGGCTCCATCCCCGCCTCTTTGACCTGTCTGTTTCCTCTCCACCTATCTTCTCCTCTATCCATCTTCTATCCGCCTCCCCCTCTCTCCCTATTTATTTCAGAACCCCGTTCCCCTCCCCCATTTCTGATGAAGGGTCTAGGCCCAAAACGTCAGCCTTCCTGCTCCTCTGATGCTGCTTGGCCTGCTGTGTTCATCCAGTTCTACACCTTGTTATCTCAGATTCTCCAGCATCTGCAGTTTCTGCTATCTCTGATAGAATAGTTTGGCGGTTGTTTTTGGCAGACACAGATTTCATGGGCTGTAGACCTGTATAACTCTATAAAGGAGCCAAAGTCAGAGCAATGCAATACTTGGGTTCACCAGGAGAGAAATGTACATCTAAAATAAAAAGTCTCGAAATGCCTATATCATTAGTATGAATGTAACAAATAAGATATACGATATAATACATTTAAATTTGTAAGAGACGAGGGGAAAAGCAACCTACATATCCAATCAAATGGTCAGAATCAAAAGAGCAGTGATTTGATTGGAGATTTTGAATCTAAAAGGGAAGTTCTTTAGGCTAATAACTTTTTTAAAGAAGTTACACATCGTCTCTTCGCCAAATGGAGCGGAATTCCGGAGCTTTAAACGGAGAAAAGCAGCCGCACTGATTACCTGTTTACACACGAATCCCCAGCAGTAGCAGCTTGCTGAGGGGGAGACTGCAACCAGCCATTTACCCTCAGAGTCAGAATGAGGAGGGAACTCATAAACATCACTCACTACCACCATGCGCTCCTTAGCAAATCTGTTCCGGGACTATCCCGGATCCTATCACCGCTATTTGACCCACCCCCACCTCCTGGCACTGCTCCGGGGCTCTCAGCGTCCCTAGCACCCGGGTGGGTCAGTCAGTGTGTCTCTGTCCCCCCAGCTCTCG